TCACCAACATTAGTGCCAGCACCGATTGTCTTTGGAAATTCCATATTAAATTACCCTTCAAAGGTATAATAGGGAGCTGGGTGCTGTTTTCCCCTATGATCTGACATGGTAGCATCCATGTAATAGAATTACAAATTTTCCTACTCTAAACTTTGAACATAAAGGAGCTAGTACCCCTTCTTCTTTTGCCATCTGCATTCGGACCAAAAATATATATTTTCCCTTACTTAAACTACAGCTGCAGATCACTGGAACCAAGGAATCCATGATTTTAGAATTCCCATCTTCCTGTGCAGTTCTGGCTGTCAAAGCTGCTTAGCATGAACGATGGTGAGCTGTCCAGGTTCACAGGTAGACTTTGCCTCTGGCTTTCTTTACTGAAACTCTGCAAACTCTCTTCACTTGAAGACCTGTGTTATAAGGGGTCTGATTTCTATTAGCTGCTCAAAGTGAAGCATTTCTTTTTCTCTCCTATATAGCTTTATGTAGAATAGGTCCTCAAAAAAAAATATACCTCTGTAAGTATTTTTCCCCATATTATACTTAACTATTTATTGATTGCTCCCCAAAATTTAACTGTGATGACAAGAATACTGGGTAATAGGGAGCGTGTCCCTGTGCTGCCAAACCCTGGCAATTGTGGAACTTTGAGTCTATAGGTTCATGGAGGATAATTATCTCTGTCTTCCCGGTGGAGACAGGTTCATGTGGCTTACGATATTTGTGATATGTCTTGTGGATGCACTTGACAGGTAATACCTATACTGATAGGTTTGAATGCTGCAACTTGTTCCCAAAGAGTCTGACTGTTGTAGGTTATGGTGGAATCTTTGTTAGGGGATGCTGCAGCCTGGGGAGAGGAGCAGGGCTTGAAAGGTGATATAGCTGAAGGACTAGAGGTCTGAGGCCTCCCATGTTGGTCACACAAGTCTGTCCAGTCCTGGGCGTGAAGCATGGGTCACTGTCGCTCAACTCCCACAGTACATGAAGGACAAGAGGGGTTGTCCACACAGACAGGGGACAGAGGGCTGCCCAAAAGCCTGCCATAGGAGCCAGTTGTTGGCAGTGTGTGGCACCTTCCCCTGTGGGGGGGCTGTAGGAAGCACCTCTGCAGCTGGCCTGGCTCCTTCAAGAGAAGGAGAGGTTTCCAACAGCTGGCTGGCTCAGCTGATGTCTGTCCCGGCATCTCTCTGCAGCTGTCCTCCCAGTGCAGGGGAAGGAAGGGCGATGGGCAGGTACCGGCTCTGCTGCAGGGGAACACAATTTCTCTGTGCTGGGGAGTGAAATTTCCTGGTTCTTTCCATACTCATCAGGCATAGGTTATTTCAGCTTTAATGAAGAAATGATGCAAAGAGATAACAGTGGCAAACACAATCTAACATCACCACCTTGCAGGTATGGGCAAAACCAGCTATAAGGCCATGCTAGTATTTAACTAAGCATGATCCTCTCAGAAGGAATGCAGTGTGACTGAGCAGCAAGTTCATCATTTAAAGTGAAAATAAACACTTCCCAGCAGCAAGGTGGATCATTAAACGTTTTGTTGTGTGAGCCAGCATCACTTTTCTAAAATAAGGTGTCGGGAAGTTCAGCCAAATGAGCAATTCAGTTGGCTTAACTTTCCTGACCGCTTTCTAATTTGGTTTTAATGAAGATATAATTAAGAGGTAATGTTAGTAGAGCAGAACACTGTCACAAGATAATGGTCTCCTGCTGCGGCATAAATGGCAAATTCAGTGAATATAGAAGGAAAGCTGGAATGTTTACTTTCAAAGCAGGAAGCATTGATCTGGGACACTCTTCTGTTTGGATACCTTTATTTCAATTTTGTCAGAACAATGAGAGGCAGCAGATTCAATCCCTTTTGGCCTGCTGCCACTTCGCAGGAGCAGGAGGAAGACTTTCAAGGTGGTTCTGCTGCAATGGGAACTGCTGCTAATGGTGGCTCATGGGTTAGACTCGCAATTGCTCACTTTAACCTGATTGTACGACAGCATTTGTGCTGCCATAGGGAGTGCAGCAATTGTGAGCCTCAGTCAATTGGCACTACAGAATAACTTAGCTATGATAGTACTGTTTAGAAAAGAGAGTCCCCTTCCAAAACCCAGCCTTTTTATTTTTCAACTGGCTGGAGCTTATGATGTTCGTCTTTTCTGGTGAATAACATCTGCCTTCCAGCATTGCAATAGCAGAAATAAGAATTTTATGTTCCAGCCCATATCATTCACCTCCACTGCAATTCAGGCTGCAAAATTATTTCCATCCTGATCTTCAGTTTCCATTTTTCTTTCAAGTTTTGCAAAACTTCTTTGAGGAGGAATTCTCTTCCCAAGCGTTTAAGCCAAGTAATAGCTTTAACTGTTTTTTTTCATTATGAAGGCTGACAAGATATACTATCTCCTAAAGCTAACACAGTTTTTTCAAGCAGAAAACTGCATGAAATAACTGCAAATGAAACTTACGCTAAAATATGGATGAATTTTGGAAGTTAAAACTTCCTGTGAAATTAGTACTTGCTGAAGAGGACTGCTTTTGTTCTGTCTGAAATGGTATTTTGTATTTGCAAACTAACGACACTTTAGGGCATACAGAGTAAATGTTAAATCTTCCAGGACACCCAAGGAATAACAGCTCTTAAATAGTGCTCTTCATTGATAACTTGCAAAGCATTTTATGCTGATCAGAATGAGGGCTAGCCACATATAGGTTCATTAAACCAAAATCCAGGGTTTTTCCATTCTGGAGCGGGATAAAACCCAGCCTTTCAAAAATGCTAATAAAAACTGGAAGACAGCACACCATATGTTAAGCACATCCAAGCTGAGGGGGATTTGCCTTCAAGCCCAAAGTAGGCCTTGTATTTAAATGTACCCTAACTCCTGCGCTGCTTGCAGTCATTTTGCTCTTGTCCAGAGAGATGTTCACACTGACTAGATGAGAGGAGTTCTGTGGGTTTATGGCCCAGCATTTGGCTGGAGGATGGAAGATGCACTTCTGAATCCCTCTTTTGGCTCATGCAGGCTTGATCTGGGTCTGCCATCTTCTGCGAGAGGCCATGCTGCCCCTTCACCCCTCCCAGTGACATTGTGGAGAGCAGATGATCTTCACCTTCTTCTCCTTTGTGAATTACAACATGTGCCAACTCCCTGCTGCTGTGCATGGAGCACCAAGCAGCTGTTTTCACTTACTCCTCCACAGCTGATGCAGAGCACTTGCTCTGATGAAATGGGACATCTCCCTATGGACCAGAGAACCTTGCCTGCCACACAGAAATTGTTATGACAGTTACATTCCTATGAAAGGCTCGTTCTGTCATATCACCTTTTACAGCCAGAATAAATTATTTTACAAACCAGCCAACCAGGTCAGCACCTTAACATCATCTTCTCAGACAGGAAAGACAAGACATAGCAAGCTAAAGTGAAATTAGTGAAAGAGCTGAGCGCAAGACACAAGTGCTCAGTGTCTTGTGCTTTCAGCACATTGCCTTACCCTTGTCTGTGGGGAGATATTGCGGTATTAAAAGCAGTGGGTGTTTTCAGAGATAATGATGTGAATCTGGAAGATACATGAATATAAGTGTCATGGGGCTGCATTTACATCAGGATCACCCAGTCATTATTTGGCCTGTGTTGCGTCGTGCCGTTTTGCCTCTCTGCAGGATGTGCCCCTTGCAGGCCCCATCATTTAGCTGTTAATATGGTCAAAGGAAGATGGGAAAATCACACACAGGAGTTCTGTTTGTGTAAAGACGTACTCGCACAGCCAAAGCAAATGTTAGAAAGTGAAAGGGACCTAGGATAACAGGATTATTTTGTCCTGAGCTGGCTCCTACTAAGGCACAGAAAAGGGTCAGTTCCCCCAGACTGTCACTCCTCCACCAGCTCAGTTTAATAGCTCCTGGGGGCAGCAGGAGGATCTTGTCCAGCTGGAAGCTGTTTGGAGGCCACCTATTTCCCTCCAAAAAAATGCCTCATACAGCTTACCTATGGTGTCAGGAGCTGAAGGAAATGGTGCAGGACTTTCCAATGTTTCCTGGAGTGACAGCATCATGCTCTGGATGCTCTTTGCACTCCTGGGTGAGGAAGCCATCCTCCTCCCCAAAACAATGTGTCTGACAACTCTCCGGAGGACATGAGGGCTCAATGTGCTAAGTCAGTCCCTTTGAGGAGGACGCATGCATCCTTGCCCAGCTGGGTACTCCTTGTCCAGTTGAGAGAGGACGGTGGATCCAGAAGGAGAAATCTCTCCCGGAGGGACAGTGCAAATAGTGGGAGTCAGTAACTGTAGTAGAAAGGGAACCTGAGGCTCCTCTCCCACTTTTCTGAAGGCCCTGCAGAAAGGAGCCCGTGGCATACTGGGGACAAGCAGGGGGCAGCTGCAATGCCCTTGTCACTGTGGGCACCCGAAGAGGTCCAGCAGTTCAGAGAAGTGAGGAAATGGTCAGGGCAGATTCCTGGGCTGTTCTCAGCCATCCAGGCAAACCCTGAGGCTGTGGCAGGGACTGGAACAGCCCTGCAGGACTGGCTTTTGCATGAGCAGCAGGGTGTGAGCTCTGCCTGGTCCCTAATGCACTGTTCCTTGCTCTGCTTCACTACACCACCAAAGGGCTGTCACTGAAACAGATTTATGGGGCTGTCTGCTGGAAAGTAAAACTGGGGAGGGAAGAGCAAGGAGCAACACATTTCCCCTTAAATGAATAGGAAACTCTCGATACTTCCCCTCACCCTGTGGGAGCATTCCACTTTGCAGTGAACGGCCCTATAAATTTCACCTATTGGTAGATGTAAAGATGTTTTATGGTTGTCCAGACTGAGCTATGATTGACTTAAAGTCTAATAAATCATTCCCTTGCTCTCCTCCCACTGGCCTTTTAACCACACTACACACAGCGCCTGCTTTTCCTTTAAAGATAACCAGGATGGGAGGGAACAGTTGTCAGCAGCCCCTAATGAATGAATTTTGAGCCATCCTGTAATTTTTCTCTGCTTGGTTATAAGGACATGAGAAAAACAAGCAGAGCAAAAATCCTCTGTCAAGAAGCAGGCTGAGCTGTGCTCCGAACATCACGCCCATGCTGTCAGGACACAGACCGCTCCATGGAAAGCTGAAGAAGCTGCTTCCTCAGGAAGCTGTAGGAAGGGATGGGGAGCCAACGGGAGCTTTGCCATGAAAAGCTTTTTGATGAAAGGTGCTACGTAACACTGCATGTTGTGGTGAAGGGGACACGATGGAGTCTTTCCAGCAGGAGATGATGCATTTGTACCAAATCTGTATGCATGCTGTTTTCTCTGTTGGAATATTGTTGTTGTCCTTTATTACATTAAAGGGGAACATCTTTATCTCATGGTGATTTGGGTGGGGTGTGACATTGTCTAATGTAAAAGGGGCCTGCAATATCAAGGAGACAACCGTGAAATAACACATTACACACTGAATTGAACAGCAGGCTCATTTACATTCCTTTAATTTGGAACTACGAACATTCAAAAACCCTCTTCTCCACTCGCATTCCCTTATTTGGGAAACATGTAAATTACTTTTATGATAATTTAGTATTTAACTGGTACAAGCATTGCAAATTCCAGAAGCAAACGTTTCAAAATAGACAGGAGCTGTGCCAGCTTCCTCTGCAAATGCGTGTGGTAAAAGCCACCTCTGAGGATGACTCTGAAAACAGCATCTCTAGCTCCTGGACCTGCGCATACACGCACTTGTAGAGCAGATGGGACAGCTGGGGTGAGGCTTGTAGGGCTAGACCTTTTGTCCCTATCATGGTGTAGGCTTGTCATGTGTGGCAGATGGATTTAATTAATAAAATGAGTGTATCGCCTCTCCTGTTGCGTGCAAAGTCACTTTTTGCATTCCCAGAATCACAGATGAAAATGACAGCAAAGGATCTTTTAGATCAGCTGTGCTCAAACAATGCTGAGAGACCTCTTCTACAGTAATCCCACTGCTATGTTTTCCAGTCTCAGCTCGGAAACGCTTAACTAACAGTGACTTGCATTCAGTTTCTCACCAGACAGCTTATTCTGTTACCTGTGTATCAGCGCTTATGATTAAGTCATTTCTGTTATATCTAAATGGGATTGTTCCACTTTTAATACAGGTTCCTTTTACCATCTCTGCTGCAGGGAAGGTCCATCTTAATGGCACACAAATATTAGTTCTTGTCCCATTGCTACCTGGTGCTCCAGCCCACCCTGTGAATTGCATTCCATCACAGCCGTCACCTGCAGTTCCCTTCACCATTCCCATTGCTCATCCTTAAGTCCTCTGCCACTTTTTAGTGTCCTTTTTAGAAAATGAAGCTTAAAAATGCGTGCTGTGCTCCAGGTCCAGCCTTACCCAGACTGCATAATGCTGCACTCATCTCTCCCTTTTTGTCACACAACAGGTCCCTCTTTACTCTATACACGGTGGGATATAATTGCTCTCCTCACAATGTGAGCTCTTACTTTTTTCATTACCCACTATAACCCCAAGGTCTTTTCCTATATTAATGTTTTCTAAATGTCTGTGCTGATTGTTATTTCTCTCCAGATGCATTACTGTCACATTCATCAATATTAAATATATTTTATGTTGTTGACATCTTCGTGTGACTTGAAACCTGCCAGATAATTCTGCGGTAGGGATTTACTATCCCTTTTCACCTATTCATTTCATATTTTATTGCTTTCAGTGTTAGCAAGGTTAAACACATAGTTGCCTCGTATAGTTCAAATGTCCAGAGTACAGAGGGGAATGAAAATATTAGGATAAATAATTGAAAGCAGGATTTATATTCTTTTTGGAAAAGCAAGAAAAAGACAATCTTTTTTTCATGAAATATAAGACTTGTATTTAAAATTTTCCCTCTTGCCCAAACTTGACTAAAAAGAGAGAAGGTAAAGAAACAAACCCTAATATCTTCTGGCTTTTTTTTTGGTTTTGTTTTGTTTTGTTTTGAACAAAGTTGGAAGTCTTTGTAAAATCTAAACTTTGATGTGGGCATTTTCATCTGAGCTATACAGCCTTTGGGGGCAAAGGTGTTCTGAGTAATTCTAGCAAAGGCTGTGAGGAGACAATACCTGCCTTGTTTTCTGCAGTACAGAAATCATTGCTCTGAAAAACAGTTCATCATCTTTCAGGAGAACTCTGAAACATTTGCCTGAAGTTAATCAGAAGTTGTGGCTCAGTGGGCTTCCATGAGTCTTTGCTGTGTGGAGTAGGGACTGAAGCAAGCATATGCTGCGCAGCCTCAGTCAACAGCAGTCCCTTGAGCAAAGTTTCATTTAAAAAACCCAAAACAACAGTAACAGAAAAACGAAAACCTCCAAAATATGTCTGAAGCCCAGAAATATCAGCATACTCTTTTCTTGATATTGTCAATAGCTTTTGATATATTTATGCATAATTTCCTGCAGAAACTTGTATAGATCAAAGAGAAAAGACAAGCTGTGGGCAATCCCATGTATAATAAGAAAGGCACAACTAAATAGAGGTCTAGTTAAATGAAGAAAGACCTCAGAGATCCAAGTCAATGGGCTTAGCTCAGAGGACCAAATGAAGATCTCATGGCCATTCCTCAGCTGTATTCACTTTACAGATCATGTCATGTGCTGTGCACCGAAGCCCTGTCAAGTCAAGTACCTGCTACTGCATGAAGGTGCAAGGACCTCTGCGCATATGGTGTCTGACAAGGGCTGCTTGTGCTTCTGAAACAGCATCAGGCTATGCCTGCTGTTTGGCACTAAAACAATCCTGATTTTTCTATAGAGATCCTAAGGTAACACCATACGATGTCCCCTGTGGATGGCTGACTCCCAGATGCCGTTACCAGCTCATGGCAAGTATTTTGGAGTTTCATTAACCCTCTTAGTAAGTCAGCCTTCTACCTGTGTTGCTCATTCCCAGTGGGTTACAGGAACATTGGTTTAGGTTATCCCTGAGGTTAAATAAGTTCAGAAGAGGAGCCCAAACAGGACTCCTTCATTACATAAGATTTGCTCTGACAGATTCATTTTCAGTAATTGCATTTGCACATATGATTGAGGGTTCCTCAACAGACAGTAGCTGAAGCTGATTTCTTTGAAAGTGAATATCCAGCAGCCGAGACTATAACGAATGTTACAGACGGGACCAGTAATTCACTTAACTGTGCCTCAAAACTCCTCTTCTCTATACAGTTTTCCTCAATATTCTCCTGGGCAATCACTAGCCCTGCTAAATTGTGGTCCTCATTTAATTTCCTGACATGTTCTTATTTCTTAAAGCTTTATTTTCAGCTATTGAAGTACAAGAAATTGCTTTTGGCCTCAAGCCTTGCTTTCCAGAGAGGTGACAAGAGACTCCACTCCTGATAAGATAAAGAGAATGCTTTCCACTTTGGAGCCAACAGCTCTGGGGGCATTTCTGAGCCCACCTGTGCTTTTCCACCCCAGTCCATGTTCCCAGAGGATACAAATCTTTTCCTGCTCTGCCAGTGAAGAGCACAAAGCTCAGACCAAGCTCTTGAGATAAAGAAGTAACTTTCTTTAAGATAAAAGGCCTGCGTTTAAGTGTAGACAACATAAAAACCCTTCTGCCCCAGGGCTTAGTTTATCTCCCTTTGCAAAACCACTAGGCAGCAAGCACTTAGCTACCTGCAAGAAGGAGAGACAGGGAGGGCAAGCATGACCTGTGCTGAGAGCAAGGACCCCAGGACAGCCTGTGGTGGGCTAAGAGGAATCTCTTAGCTGTGGGGATGGAGGGGTGGCCCCATGCCACAACCACATGACATCGCAGTCAGCATGCTGTCACCTCGCTGTTGGTTACATGGCGCTTCTCCACAGGTTTGGAAACTTCTTCCCAATTTGTTTCTGTGGGCTTTCCCAGGTTGAAGGACTAGGCTGCAGGGGTCAAGGTTGGGAACAGCCCTGGCAGGTCCCAGTGCATCCTCTTCAGAAACAAGCATGTGGTCATACAGCGATGGTCATACAACCCATGGTCATACAGCCCGTGGTCATACAGCCCATGGCTTCGCTTGGGTTAAAAGGTAAATGCTGCGGATGACACCTTTCAGCAATGGCATGTAGAAGCATGTGTAGATGCTATGCACAAGAGGTCATTCTTTTCACGGCATTACATCAGAAATGTTCTGAAATCATTACAAATTATGTCTGCTGTATAATCTTTTTTTTTTTCCTTTACCTAGTCCATAATTACAGCACCTCCAAAAAAAAAAAAAAAAAGTGTATTGGATTTTTCTGTCATGATCTATGTTTAGGGCTTGGCAGGATTCAATTTTAATTTCAGCTTCAATGATAACACTTTATTACCCGTGCTTTTTATTTATAGTTACACACTGCTTATTTATACTGATGTAAATATTTTTCGACTTGCATCCAGGAAAGTGCTATTATCATTGGCTTAAAGAAAAGCAGTGTCCCTCTTTTGAATAGATAGTGTGATTTCAGAGAGATGGGGTCTACAAATTCATCTACCATCACAAAATTTAGCCCTTAATCTAGACAGAAGAGACATGACAAATACATTATAAAACCCTTCTTGACAGAGCCTGTCCATGCTGTTTCCTTGGAATACTGCACTAGGTGACAACATGAATCACAAGTAATGTTCAATGTGAGTTTGGACAAGCTAGAAAAATGCTCTTTTTTCTATTGAGGGGGGAGAAATATACTGTGCTACTGAAAACAGTTGAGCTGAGGAAAAAAAAAAAAAGAGGTTGTTGTAAGTATTTGTGCATTTAGATAACCCAAGAAGATCCCATATGGAATATGAGCAAGTGTTAACAGAGAGCTCATTAATCAAGTAATACGCCTACTGGAAACAAAACCCACAGCAGCTCAGAGAAAACAGACAAAAAGTTAGCCTGGATTTAGATAAGCAAGTGGATGTCAGTGATGGAGTGTTTTTTTCAGAGAGGAACCAGCACGAGACTGTGGACAGCCATGGATCAGGCATTTCATCATCCAGGCCTCCAGAACCCCAGTACCAATCAGCTGACACCCAACCAGTGCACAAAGGTTACTGAACTGAGGCTGGTTACTGAAGAAGGAGAGCATAAGGATGCCTCAGGGAGGAAACCTCTGGTTTATGCAGAATTAAACCCCAAGACTGCAGTGTGATTCGTGTGGGCATGGAGACCAGATTTCCATTGACTCCAGTCAAGCTGAAGGCTTTACCTGCACAGAAAAGCAGTGGACAGTGGGCATGTCTTCTCCACACTCGCACCCACAACAGCCGCCTCTCCCCTGAGACAGGCGGTACTGAGTAGGAAGCATCTTCCCCACACAAAGCAGGGCTGTGCAGATCAGTGTGGCCAGGAACTCTTGTTGCTGTTCAGTAACGCTGAAAGCTGAGAAATACCATGTTGAAATTTTCATGCATGAAAGAAAGGCTGAATTTTAAAGGAATGTATAATAACACAAAATAATTGGTCCCAAAGCAGAAAACATGGGAGCTCTCAGTTCAGAGCTGCAGAGCAGGGGAATGGGAGATGACTGCTCCTATCTTGGTGCTAATATTTTTTGCTAAATGATTTGACAGAGCAAATAAAAAAAGCCAAGGCTATAACTGTTTTCTGTTGCCACTCTAATGATCCTAAGTGCTCTGAGGGAATTGCCACTAAGCATTTATGTGAAGTATTTGTGGAACAGGCCTTAAGAATTATGATAGCAAGAAAATAACAGATATTAATGGGCATTGTCCCCAGGCTGTTGTACCACCAGAGAATTTACAAGTCCTAATGGGCACTAAATTGGAAAAGTACAATTTTAATTCCATCCGGGAGAGTATTTAAATCTTAAAGAGAATTACCTACTAAGTAGGGATATAAAGTCCAATTGTCAGATCTGACACGTCTTTTACCTCCCTCCCCAGAAACCAACCAAATCCATCAATCTCAAAGTTTTTGTTCAATACTCCATTGCCAGGAACTGTTTTCAAATTCAGATGAAGGGGAAAAAAACAAAACAAACAATCTTAAACATATCATTAAAAACTGTGCATATTAAGTAGAAGAGATCAGCTTAGGGTCCTTGATTTATGCCAGACATGAAGCCATGCAGCAACACGAGAGAGTAGAGTGCTCCAGGACTTGTCTAACAAGATGTTATGTTTTTCCACATGCAATGAACAGCTCTATATCAAGTCAGAGGAGACAGCAATCTTCCAAACCTTCCTTGCTTTATCGTTTTGGCAGGGATGCCTTTTTGATCAAGTTCAATTCCTGGATAGGTCCAAACAAGTAGGATTTTTTGGTCTGCCCTGAAATTTGGTACATCTCACAGAGGGAGGGAGGCAGAAGGTGTGGGCTGGGGGAATCAGACAAGATGCATCTGTTTGAGACGGTTCTCCCCATAACAGCTGCTCTTCTAAGCATTATGTGCATGGGTGAATAAGTACAGATGTGTGTGAAGATCTGGGGAAGCAAACAATGGTTTCTGAATAAGCTCAGTCTCTCAGCGTGTATTCTGCAGTGTCTTGACAGCAGTTCACCTTTGATGACGCAACATTGGCAGCAACCACAGGAAAGCATCTGGCTGCCTTGGTAGGTAAATGAGTAGCAGCTGGGGAAAAAAATGGAGTTCACACGGGGACAGAGGCATTGAAAGGCTTCCTGAGCTATTGATTTTTGCACGTGCTCAAGGGAGCAAATGGGGAAACAGATTTTATGTCAGCTCAGGTTACCCAGAAATTTCTATAATTTGCCATCCAGCCCGGTCACTAGATTGATTGAACCTGGTTAACATTGCTCAATAGCCAGCACAAGTGATCTTTAAACCAGATTATTAATCATTTGAGAAAAACCTGCTCCACGTTCTTGCTAAAGGGATTTGTATGTTAAGTTGCTTCACAAAACATTTTGTGTGAAGACTGAGATGTATCATAACATAAAAACCAGTGGTGGCTGTGAGCTGGGATGGCAATTGCTCAGCTACGCGGCCCAACTACATGGCCCTTTCTACAGGTGACTGTTGTGTACTAGTGGGGTGCTGTGGTTGCTCTTGTCTAGGCACCTGAGCCCTCAGTCATTGGCTGGGCAGAAGATGCATCTCCCAGCTGCTTTTTGTCCCATACCCCACAGGTTTTTTGCTCCTGTCCAACATTCTCCTCTCATACAGTCATTACAGTTCATTTGTCAAGAACATCTATGATATTAAGATGTATTTTCAGGACCTTGTATTCCTTGGATTCCTCACACCTTTCCTTGCAGGCAGGTATAGCCAGCACACAGGTTGCAATTGCTTCAGGGTCATACCTGCTACTGCATATGATGCTGTGCTCACTCCTCGCTAATGTCTGTGAGTCAAAGGTCCTCCCAAAATATGGCTCAAGCTGGCAGTTAATAGCCCAAGAACTATTCAAGAAACATCTGCACTCAGGGCCAATTCAAAACACAGCTCTGCTCTTCATGCATCACTCTCCCTGCTGCTCGCTCAGCTCTAATCATTAGGACCCTATCGCTTCAGGAAAGATGAACACATTGATGGGATTTTCTTGTGTCCTGTTGTTTGTGAATCATTGTTCCCACCACACAGTAGCTGTAATTATTGCTTTTCTGGACCTTTGGCTGACTGTTTTAGCATAATGAAAAAAAAGCAGCAGAAAAGGGGGTTGCAAAATCAGAAATCTTGGAAATACGAATAATCTGCTGCCTCTTTCTATTAGAATTGTTCCCTTTAGGTCAGAGCCCATATGCACACATTGCTTTCTCTACTCTGCAGTGCCTAGGGTAGTTTGCCTAGTTTTAAACTGGCCAAAGTAGATGAAGGGTGGCAGAAGGCTGTTTTTAATCTGTGAATGTGTTATGGGAGACTGTTGCAGCAATGAAGCGTAGAAGGTGGGGGAAAGCAGAGGAAAATGTAAAATAAGTTTGTTTGAACTATAGGAGCTGAAGATGTGAGAATTTCAAAGCTCCTGATACCAGATTGTTATAGTAGCAAAAAAAAAAAAAAAGAAAACAACAAAACGAATATTTTCTGTTTTTTTCCTTTATTCCCTAAGAGAACATATCCCTGTGTAGAACATGGGAGTCTTGGTGTGACTGAGTCTGTGGTAAAGGAATAAAGGAGAGCCTCATTACCAGACTTTTCCACAAAGCTCCCGGCTGGTTACATAGCTCAGCATAACAAGGAGTATCACCACTAATACACCTGGGAGCTATGGATTTTGCACCACACTGTTAGTCTCCCTGACCCTGGAAGATGGTGAGACTGACCAGATGGGCAACCAGAGAACACCCTCTTCCCTGGGCAGCTGTCAAGTCCCTGCTCTTGCCATTCCTTCCCCTTCAAAATATCTCTTTATTCCTGCTTCTCGTGCTTACTATGTCTTCTTTTTTTTTTTTTTCCTCTCTCTTTTTTCTTTCAGTCCAGCTGTGGTTAATTTGTCATGGAGAAAATAATATCAAACGGTGCAGTGCTGGGGGAACAGACAACCCAGTGCTAAGCCTGCCCCTAATTGATTGATGAAAGGAAAATCAGGCTGCCTCAAGAAACAATTTCCATAACACTGGGAATAGACGGGAAGCCGTGTTGTGGATTGTGGGTGATGCATCACAGATACTCAGCTTCTGAATTGCCAGCAATGAGGTGCAAGTGCTCGAGATCTCTCGCCCAAGGCTCCCGCCGGCAGCAAGTGGTGGATGTGTCAGGTTAGCATGGGACTGCTCTCCCACTGATGGACCCCCATGGCAGGGCATGGGACAGGCTGTGTCCATTGTCAAGCCTGGGGGCTGCAAGCATGATGCCGTACTGTGAGATGGAGATCAGCTTCCTCCCCGACCTTGGCCAGCCTAAGACAGAAGCAGATGCCTTATTTTGTAGTCTTTTCTCTTCCTTTTGCATTCCTTTTAGGCAAGAAAAAAGATCATACCTCAGCCTATGTTCTGATTGCTATCACTTTAAAAGGACTGACTTTCTTTTATTTTCTCTATAATAGAATCACCCAGGAGACTTCCAAGCAAGATATTTTACCCTTCAGAAAAAGCTCTGCAGATGCCGTGGGCAATAGGATCACACTGGCAATTACTAAGACCATATTCTTCATTTCTGATGGTTAAGGTTGCTTGCTTCAAAAGTGCCAATGATATGGGGTATATCTGAAATTTTATTTGCTTGATTGGAGATGTCTTCAGGAAGGGATGCTTTCAGGGAAGGAAGTCCACTGCAGGAGTCTCAAGGTGGGGGACCACAGTCTCCCACATTGCCAGCTGCTTTTGAAAACTTTGGTCATGGTTATTATGTGACAGGATGATTCATGAACAACAGGACGCAAAAAAACTGTCAATGCATTCATCTTTCTGGAAGTCATCAGTTCCTTATGATTATAGCAAATTTGCGTGCACCTTTTGTTTGCCAGGCAGGCCACAAAAAGCAAACAAGTTCCTGGCAGCTAAATCACGAACAACTGTTACTCTTAATCTGGTGTAGTATAAAATCAAGGGTTTACAAATTATAATAAACCTTGAAGAATAAAAACAAACATCTCAAAGAGCAATAAAAAAAACCCAACACCCTATTCTGGACTTGAAGCTTGAAAAACAAATTAATCCATTTTCACAGCTGTCTATTGGGTACACCTTCCCCAAGCTGCACATTTACCAAGGCTTAATTCCTCCTCTGTCGTGACTCAGTGCTGATGGGAATTTGGCATCTAGATAGAAGGAGCCATCTCTTGCAGCACACAGTGCTGTAGCTGGCTTCATTTCTGTGCTTTAAACCTATACCCTTTTCAAAGCCAGAATATACATCATTGCTTTTGGCAACATTTTGATTGGCAGTTATGACCAAGACGGCATCGGAAGAAAGGCAAGGCTGATGTGATTTCCTCCATACTGCCTTTGTCTAGCTCACCTTTTTCAACAGCCATTCCCAAAATAAGGGGAAAGACCAGTGACTAAAAAGCCTCTCTTCTACTGAGTGGCCTCTTCATTATTGTCATCTGTACCAGCAGTCTGGGGAACATATAGAAGAAACTGCCTGAAAGGTAACAGTCTGAAGACAGTGAAAAATAAAGGTCTTTTCCAACCTAAATGATTCTATGATTCTGTGACATGTAATGCACCAATTGATAGGAAGATGGATTTGTCTCAGAGAAACATGACATATTCTTATCTGCCTGATTTTATGGAAATCAGTTTTAAAGTACTGCTTTTCAGGGCACACAAAAGTTAGCAGGCTCCAAGGAGCATACATATTTCAGGAATCTGGAAAAAGCTAAAGAGTCTGTATCAGAGACACAACTTAAAGGACAAAACCAAACAGGAATGATACAGAACAAGTGAAAACTGTGCTAAGAACAAACTTTGAGATTCTACTTTTCTTGGCATTTTTTTTTTTACTTTTTTGCTGAATACCCTTTCAAAAGCTGTCTGGGGAGAACTGAAGCTCTCCATTGAAAAGCTACTGAAGTATAACTATGTTTGGACTATTTTCTGATATTCACCTTTCTAGTGCAGAAATTGAAATTTGCCAGGGAGAAAAAACATCTTCTGTTGTCGGTGCTGTTGACAATTTTTAGTTATAAATCTTTCCTCACCTGCCCTCATTGGGCAATGAAAAGCTTGCAGACCTAGAGCAAAATTACAAAATTAGGCAAGTCAAATCATCCTGATTTGTTTGTTTGCTCTTTGGTACTTTTCCTTCTTGTCTATTTTTTTCCTACTTGTTAGGGCTCTTCTTTTAGGCTATTGGCTTTTTGTACAGGGATTGCTATTGAGTTTTCACACAGGTTAGCGTGTTGTGGGCTTGACTGGCAGAGGGTTAAGGGTTACAGCATATGCCAGTCACTGCAGACAGACAGCTAGAAGGAAGGGTCATCTGAGCAACCCTTTGCTGTAGTAAACAGTGGAAGAGCCCAAACAAGCAGGCTAAAGTATTTGATGCAATATTTCCCTTGTTTGGGAAAAGACTTAGGCAAACAACCAGCTTGAAAACCATCAGAAGCAGCACTCCCACTGTCTGAACAGTTGGTCAGACCTTGGAAAGTGTTGTAGCCAAAGGCTGGCAGTTTTATTATGTGTTCAGCTCACAGTCTTACATGCCATCAACCCCAAGGCAAGACTACATTTCTGCTAGATGAACAGCTCTTCTCAGCTTAAACTCAGGCACTTGCTTTATGACCTTGGTGCCCATTCACATGTAGGTTTTGGTGAAGGCATGATGCTTAGATGGAAATGGAATTGTTTGTAGTGAAAACAATCAGGACTAATAGGATAAGGACGGATCTGACATGACAGTGTCAGCTAGAGAGAGGGGCTGACGCGCTAGGGTGACATTTTAAATACACTTTATATGGTTTATTTGCAAAGAATGAACATAATGCTCCAAGAGACGAAGAACTCCACCTGCTCTAGAGATGTAGCTATAGCAACCTCCACACGATTACATTGCTAATCTGCAGGTGTTGAAGAGGCATAGATAGATGCTGTTGAGTAATTCAGCTCCAAATAGATACTTTGATCTGCATAACAGCTTGCATTTATGTCCCAAATATGGATCATTTCCAATTCTGCGATTCTTCCTTATAAAAGCAAAATTCCCTTTCTTTATTTTATAATGGGAATCTTAAAACTTGCCCACGCTACCTATCAAGCTGGACAGCTCCATTACTTTTGGGTGGCCAAGGGCAGGCAAAAAGAAAACCTTTTCATTGCCAGAAATGCCCACACTATTTCTTGTATGTTTTATCCGAGTTCCTTCTCAACAGGAACAAAATCAAACAGAACACTTGTTGTACTTTCCTGTATACATAACATACTGACGAATCAATTGCATCTTCACATTATAGACAGTCTATTCTGCTGCAGACACTGGCAACAGCCTCTGAACATGTACCAGATCAGATCATGCTTCATTAGCAGCCACAACATTGTTAAAAACATCAAGCTAACGTCTGTCCTGCTTTACTCTCCACAAGCTGCCATTGAACTTGGTGGGGATGGCTGGGATGGAAGTCAAGGCAGAA